TAAGATAATAATATAGTCCTTATGCTAGCTGTTTATGGACAACATCTGCACTATCTCTTGTATTGGAATAGCCTAATGCCAGCATTCCCAGTATACCCATGGTTTGTATTATCATCAAACTGTGTGTGAGAGATAAAAAGGAGACAGCTGGAAATCGGAAATGAGCTGAATCGCTGGAAATATATCAGAGGTTACAAGAAAATATTTTTTGAGTTTCTCACAATTTTGCTTATCGACTTCTTCTTGCAGATATGTTTTATTTTTGCTACCGCCTGAACAATATTCCTGCATTGGATAAAAATACCTCATCTCTTCAAAAAAGTGAAAGGAGTTTCTACCAGCATCCTGGCCAACAATACTCCAGATAAATTAGTTATTCACCTCACAACATTTTGTGGGACCTTGCTGTTTGTAAATGGCTGCTGCACATACTGACATAAACATACTTGACAGTAATTCTACTCGTCACCTCCATTTCACCATCATTGGCCCTGCTTTCAGCCACTACACCCTGGAGTTCTGTAACTCTCTGCCTCAATCCCTATTAAACACTCCAAGATGCTACCAAACACGAAGGATACTATATAAATATAAGTTGCTATTGTAAATATTCCAAAGTGAAAACTAATAATTGTTGCATTTGATGTAGCACCTTATTACATAGATTTTTGCTGTGAATTGTAGTGAATGAGTGTTTGTCAGCGAACATCACAGCCAATTTGCACACATCATTATCTCACAAATATCCATGAAGTGAACAGCCAATTTGTGTTAGGGTGATTGTTGGCCAGAACACTGGGAGAAATTTCCTTTACTTTTTGAATAATGCCATGGGATCTTTATTGTCCACCTCAACTCCGTTTAATGTCTTATCCAAAGGACAGCAACTCCAACTGCCATCCCCCATCTCCACAATATTGCCTGACTCCACCACTGCCTCCTCACCCCTCAGGGCGCCGAAACCCTCATACATGCATTCGTCACCTCAAGGCTCGACTACGGAAACGCCCTCCTTGTCGGCCTCCCCAACTCTTCCCTCCACAAGCTGCAGATCATTCAGAACTCTGCAGCTCACGTATTCTTGCGCACCAAGCTCCGTGATCCCATCACTCCCACCCTCGCCCAGCTCCACTGGCTCCCCATCCCTCAGCGGATAGAATTCAAAATCCTCGTCCTCACTTCCAAGGGCCTCCAAGGCCTTGCCCCCTCCTACCTCTCTGCTGACCCCCTGTCAACCTTTTTGTTCCTTCCACTCAGCAGGCTCCAGCCTGCTCCAGGACTCCCGCTCGACCCGCCCTACCATCGGAGGCCAGGCTTTTAGCCTCTCTGCCCTCACTCTTTGGAACTCCCATCACACAATCCCTTCACCTCGCTCCCTTTCTTGACTCCTTCAAGGCACGATTCAAGACCCTCCTTTTTGACTGTGCCTTCAGCCGCCTCCTACCCCCTCTGCCCTCCCTTATCCCAACCATGCCCACCCCCCACCTTGGGTATTGATCGCTGACTGTTCAGTGCCTTGGGATGTCCTCCCGACGCGAAAGACACTTTACAAATGTCATTTTGTTGTGGTTCTTTTTGCGACCCTTCTGTGCGCAATTGGCTGCCATGTTTCGTCTACAAAATCTAAAGTCAATTCACTTTACAGTATATTCTGTGAACCGCTTTGAGACATCTTGAAGACGTGATAAGGCGCTATATCAAATGCAAGAGTTATTATTAAATGCAAAGAGCCATAGGTGGGAGGTATTCTGAAATGCACTGATTTTATCTGCTTTGAGTTACTTTGAATTCATTTTGTTGGAACATTATAAAGTGAGAGAGAAGAGCAAAGAATGGCCGATTTGCATATAATTAAACATACCATTCTAATGTATGAAATAAAAACAAGAATGCTGGCTTCCACAGCAGGTCCGCTGGAAGCCAAGAGGTCTTGTGGCAAGTTATGGCTAAAGTGTTCAACCCATTTAATGTAACTGGTTAACTTGCCTTGGATTACAGCATGCATTTCAGAGTTATAGCGTGAGTAATGTAGTTTTCATTTACACTAGCAATGAAACATGCAATGAAAGTGGAGTTTCATCAACATTTGGAAGAATGATTGTGTGTCAGGGAAATCCCCAAAAACTGCACACAGGGTCTTGCACAATCCGCCCCCTACCTTTCTGCTGCATAGGCACCAGTTATGGTTTCATGTTTTTCTGCACCTTGTGGTTTCTGACTCAGAAATCTGTGTACAATGGCTTTGCAACACACGTGGCAGCTGTTTTGTAAACTGTATACGCCTGTGGTTTTCTCCCTCAGTCGCCTGTGCATACCCGATAATTTACGGTGACATGTTCCAACTCACTGCCAGAAATGTGCATAGTATACACACTGAGTTTATGTTTTAAAAATCATGCAATGGAAAGTAGTAAAATTATGGCATTGTGCTTCACTGTTTGGTACTTTTGCAAATGCTGGGAATTCCCTATCTTCATAGATCTGTTAAGGCTTGAGCCAAATTACTGCAAAAGGAGCCATTTATACGGAACTGCTTTGAGGAAATACCCGTGGCAGTTGCTGATTGCGTTGCAGACCACTGTGGCCTGAAATGCACAGGATGTGCATTGTATTTAGGAGATGTAAAGGAAAAGGCTGTAACATATTTGTTGCATTCGATAGAAGATACAGAGTTCAGGTGAATTCAATAACGCAAATTCGAGGTTGCATTATATGCTTACAAAGTTTTACTGATATTACAGATGCTCACACAAGTAAATAAATCTGTTGCATGCATTCTGTAAATAATCTTGATTGTGTAAATGGAGTCTTCTGAAATCTATCAAGTCACCATTTTGAAATTGGGTAGGAGGGTAACAGTCCAACTTTGCAAGAAGATTCATTTAAGAATAAGAATGCTAACACAGTAAAATGTATGTTGGGCCTTGGACGGTGGCTAAGTAATGGCTTGAAATATGCCTACTAAAAGAACTTTATTCAACAACTTCAACAATAACTTATTATAATAATAATCCATGCATTTGGTATAGCACATTTCACGTTGGGAGGACGTCCCAAAGAGCTTCATAGGATTTACTGTGAAGTAGCGTGACTGTATTTGTAGGGGAATGTGGCAGCCACACAACATACATGACCTCGGTTTAACATCTTATCTGAAAGATGGCACCTCTGACAATGCAACTGTTAAAGATTTGATTGAAAACTTAGCGGCTTAAGGGTTAATGAACTATCCAAGGAGTAAAGAAATCGAGCAGTTTAATGCTGTCTCAGCACATCTTAAACACATTGGCATGGTGCAGACAAAATTATTGTACCACTTCATGATGAACTGACCTTTGTCAAATGTTAAAGAATTTTATACCATGCCAAAAAATGGTGAAATATCACAACCCTCTTTAACCTTTAAATATTTTGAAGATTTTTGTTACAATTCCTGGGTGGTCATCTCAGCATTTAGCTATTTTGGATTCCAGGCCTGCTATCTTGAGTTTGTAGGAATACCTGAAGTCTACCGGCAGACAGTCCATTTGAGGTATAATGAGTGGCTAACTATGTAAAGCACTGGGGCCTGAAATCTCTCATGTTCTTAGGTTTACAACCATTATCTTAATATTTAAAGTTGTGTGGAATTTTTTTTCACATATCTTTTTGGAACTGAAAAATTAGTTTCTGAATGTAAGACTTTTTTTCTTAAATTCCTCACAATTTTAAATTTCCAGAGTTAAATTTAAGGTGTTAACATAGGCAAAATCTAAAGTCTTAAATCGAAGATGAGGATTGAGGTCTCTAAATTTTTATTTTACAAACAGTCAATAATAGCCCTCATTCTGCAGAATTACTGGATTTAGTTGAATTCTGTATCATAATAATAATATTACTAATAATAAGAATCCTTGCATTTGGTATAGTGCCTTATTATATTGTTGACATCTCAAAGCTCTTCAGAGGATGTCACTTTAGAGTGTGGTGTCTGTGTTGTAGGGGAATTTAAGCACAGCTAATTTAAGCGCAGCAATGCCCCACAAATAGCCATTTATGAACAATCTTATTTGGGGTATTTCAGCACTTTGAGATGTCCTCCGGCAATGACATGTTATATAAACTGCATGAATTATTATTATTATTAGGACAAACTGGGTCGCACACCTGATGCTCAATTTAATGGAATCTTAATTTTCAATATTCAAAAGAGGCAATCGCAAAGTATCATTACAAAAAGCTACCAATGTGTGTGTGTGTGTGTGTGTGTTGGGCGTGTGGGTCTGGATAAGGTCTCTTTGTATTTGGCAACCTGCAAATTACTGTCATTTCTTAGGCTGACTGAGGAACTCAAATGAGTGCTTTCCTAACTTTCTGTCTCGCAAGTAGAACATGTCGGACCCCTTTATAAGCACATTTTCCTTCTCTGTTTGTACCTCCTTATATTGTTCCTGCTCATGTCTTCCACTTGTATCTCCTTTCCCTTTTTGACATGTAGTTTTATATCTGCCAACACATCCCAGAAATTGCTCAACTGCTCATCCTTCCTCCATAAGCTTGGACAGCAACTTTGTAGTGCTTCACTTCCGTCTAGTTTTCACCTGAAGTCCACAATCCCAAATGCTGTGAACAAATGAGTTTAGGAAGTGCATTAGAAAGTGTGGAGTCCTGTAGCTCAGTGGTTAGAGCACTTGCTTTTCAAGCGAGAGACCTGGGTTCGATTCCCAGCAGGGTGAAACCTTGGGCAAGTTTCCTTACTCCACACGCCTGATAATAATCTCTCAAAAAAAATAATAAATTGGTCATTTCAATCCACGACTGTTTGTGGGACACTGCTGTGCGCAATTGGCTGCTGCGTTTCGCCCACAAATATACAGTCAATTCACTTTACAGTCTTCTGTGAAGCACTTTGAGACGTTTAGAAGATGTGAGAAGCGCTATATCAAATGCAAGGATCATTAAGCTTATTACCAGCATTTGACATGAAGCCACAGAATTCTTTATTAGTTTTTCTCATTTAGCCGACAGGTGCCTTCTCCGTAGAATACCACACAAAAAGAGTGGCATCAGAGCGGGTGGCAACACAAAGCATCCTTTCAGTCATCGGGGAATGCATTGACCAATTTGCACCAGGATGTGTAGGAATACAGAAGATCCTGAATGCCCGATGCCCTTTGGTGCGGTTTTCCCATCAGCCTTCGGGATTTCAGTGTGACCTAACGGCCAACAATAGGTAAGGAAGTGCCTGTTGCTACCAAACAGAGAAGATGGAGGAGATTTAGCCACAGAGATTTACTTTTAAAATCACTGACCAAAGCTATCTGATAGGAATCAATGAAGTGGACGCAGATAAAGCTGTTGAGTGAAACCAAGATGAGGGGGGATAAAATAAGATAGCTAGTAGCAAATCTAAAAGAGAGTTTAGGAGGAACTTCTTCACATAGATGGTGGTGAGAAGGCACGTCTCAAAACCCTCATCATCGACCGTGCCTTTGGCCACTTTCCCTGCCCTCCACCCTCCCTTACCCCAACCCCCACCCCCTGCTCGGGACCAAATCCCTGGCAGTCCATGGCCTCCTGACATGAAAGGAGCTATACAAATGTAATTTCATATTGTGTAGTGAGATTGTAGAATTTACCACCACAAGCTGCAGGAGCAGCAATGAATTTAAGAGGAAACTTGATTCATGCCTGAAGCAGAGGGAATAAAGATGTGTGGGAAAGGTGGGAGCTCATGTTCAGTAAAAACAATGGTACAAATTAATTGTCCTTGAGGGAGCCGACACAAACATAATGCGTTGAATGGCCTTTGTTCCGTAAAGTTTTATGGAATGGCATGTTTCTGCCGTATTAGTCTATGTAACTATGTCTTATGTTGGAAGATGTGTCCGAGCTGTGGACAGGAAGATAATGGCAATGCTCTCTCGTATTTCATGCTAAGATGCGTTGTCCACCAGGAAGCTCACAGGGAGTTCCTGGTATCCACCTAGTGCGGGCTCTAACCCGCGCTTGTCAGATATCAATCAACCAGTTAGATATGCTCGGGGTGGGGGGGGGTGAGAAGGAGGAGGAGGAAGTAAGTGGGGTCTCCTTGAAGCTGAACTTGCTCCAAAGTGATATGTTTAGCAATGGAATGTCGGAATTCAGCCAACTCTCTGTGGAGGTCTCTATTCCGGTTCCTGAGCCAGGTGAGTCCACAGTATTCTGGGGCACTGGTGATGACAGCACAGCCAGCTTGGGTCATCGGCAGGACCTGGAAGGGCAGATCAGTCACTGGAGATAGGAAATCCTCCCACTTAGCTCCTGTTAACACCCCAAGACATAGCCCTAACAGGCAGCGTGTTCCTAGCTGAAGCAGTGGGAAAGCTTGCCAGTAACTCTTCATGGCCGGCAACGCAGAATATGATGCAACAGTCAATAAAATTCTTAGAAAGCTTTCAAAAGGATCTAGACAGATATCTAAAAGGAGTAAATTACTAGTGAATGGGGAATGGGCAGGTAAATGGGATAGATATTTAAAAGATCCAGCACAGACTCAAAGGGCTGAATGGCCTCCTCCTGTGCTATAAATTTCCATGGTTCTAAAGTATGCCAGTGGCCTTTTAAAAGGGATTTACGTTTAACTATACCCATTCATCTGTATGTAAAATTCCGAACTAATCTTTCCCTTTTGTTTTAGAATTGCTATGAGAAGCACTGAACTCCTTTACATATATGCTGATATCGACCCTCGGGTACGAGCCCTGGTGTTCAGCATTCGCTGCTGGGCCCGTGTCCATGGCATCACCAGCAGTATTCCTGGAGCCTGGATCACTAACTTCTCTTTGACCATGATGGTTCTATTCTTCCTGCAGAGGAGGAAGTCCCCAATCATACAGACACTGGACCAGCTCAGAGACCTGGCAGGTAACTCGGGCCAGGAGATCCATTTGTCCTATGTTTCAACTCACGTTGCTGGTTGTTAGTCTGATGCTCAATACTGTATCATAATCTGATGGAGAGATGTCTCGCTTTTCTCTAGGAGAGAGCATTTATATAGGTCCCCTGCATGCATGTAGTGTCACAGAGCACTGAATACCTATGTGGGGGAGATTCTTTGGGCTGGATTAATCCTTTAATTACTGGGTCATGAAAATGCTTCAGTCCTAATATACTATCCAAGGGCTGGACGGCTTTAGACCCACCCTACACCCAAAAGTCACTTTGAAGGGTGAGCTCAATCGTGCTACCTGTCACCAGTATATTGTAAAGCTTGGTTCTGTGGTGAGATAACCAGTCTCAGCAGAGCCAGCAGTGGGGATGCTACAAGTGGCCTCATTTTTCTGTGTTTGGCAAACAGATGAGGGAATCAGGGGAGTAGATCTGAAACACTAAACCTAAAATTGTATCAAAACACAAAATACTGCAGATGCTGGAATCAAACAAAAACAAAGAGAGCTGGAAAAAATCAGCAGGTCAGGCAGCATCTATGGAGAAAGGAAAGTGAGTTGTGACGAAGGGTCGTGGACCCGAAACGTTGACTCACTTTCCTTTCTCCATAGATGCTGCCTGACCTGCTGAGTTTTCCCAGCTCTCTCTGTTTTTATTTAAATTGTATCTGTTTCATTCATGTTTTGAAATGTTTTCGGTCCACCTGCTATCTCTTGCAGCGAAAGGAAGTATCACTGCTTTGTTTTGAGAGCCTGGCCATTCTGCATGGATAAAATGATATTCACTAATCAGGGAGGCTTTTGTTTCATTTTGGAACAAAACTGTATGCCAAACTAATTGAATTGTAGTTTCACTGCCATTATTCTAAAGCTGGTCGAGTACCAGGAAATATTGCAGTTCATTCTAAAGGGGTTATCGTGCACTTGCATGGTTTAATCCACATGTGTCTACAGAGTGTTACTGTCTTGTTTTATTAGTACAAGATAAGCACTTTGGTGCGGGTGAATATGCCTATAATGAGGCCAGATAGAGCGCGGAGGAACAGCACATGTTCAATATTACCTCCAGTATGGCACTGCTCTTAAAAAGTCTTAAAGTGACAGGCCTCTCATCTCACTCCCCTCCCCCCCCCCCCCCTCCATTTATGTGATGGTCTATTTATTTTAATGTGGAGAATGATCCATGCTCAATAAATAAGAGAGATTGTATGCACATTTCCACTCCTCTTCCACACACTCCCTTCTATGCTAATGCAATGGCGTTCCTTTTGGGACAAACAAGCAAAGGATATTGAGTTTTTAATGAAACCGGCTGTTCTTTTCAGGACCAAAAGATAAACTTGCCATAGGAGGTCATGACTGCACCTTTGTAACTGATGTCAGCAAACTAAAGCCATCCCAAAATAGAGAGACTCTGGGTGAGTAAAGCGATGTGGAATTCATCATAAACATGAATTCAATTTGGTTTGCAAATTAAATAACTTCAGTTTTGGCCTTCTTTACAGAGCAACTCCTCCAAGAATTCTTTGAATATTATGGTAGTTTTCCTTTTAAAGGAATGTCCATCAATATAAGAAAGGTTAGTATGCTGCAATGTTTGGGTGGGATTTCTCTTCATTTTTAACATATTTGCTGTTTGTTTTTATGTTGATTCAAGCAATGGATCTCCTGACACTGTTGTGCAACTCTTCAAGAAATCTCCCCTCATCATACGGAACTTCACAGCGGTTTTAACAGATTCAAAGTCAGCTGTTGAACTGTGCGAACGAGAGGTGAATTAGAATGAAGATACCCAAGGCACCTTAGAGCTATACGGTTGTCAAAGACCGTTAAATACAATGAAACTCCCTTATATAGCGCACATTGAATTATAATGTGGGTGCCCTGTGGAATTTATTCACTGCATCTGCACACAGCTGCTGCTCTTGAGCTAAAATAGCAACCTTTTAGGTCATTAGATTGCCATCAATGTCACTTTTTTGCTGCATGAATGATTGGATCGCATCCTTCCAGAGTACCCATCTTTGTCTGCCCATCATAGCTGTAAGCTTTTTTTCAAAGGGGTCATCATGGAATACATGAGTTTCCTCCAACTTACTATGTGTAGTATCTTTAGCTTTCCATGCTAAACCAAAGGCAATTTGGTTTGCAAATTAAATGACTTTAGTTTTGGCATTCCTTGCAGACTGACCTCTGGGTAATGAGGTCGTTGCTGACGTCACTTCCGCTTCACAACCACTATGTTGTACCACTGACCCCACTGTTATTACAACGCATTTCTAAACATGGTCGTGGTGTCATTTTCAGCCAGTAGGAATGTGAAGGAGTAGCTCCATTGTGGTAACCATGTGCACTTATTCTGTTGTCAAACTCCTAGGTGAAAATCCTCACCAAAAATAGTTGGATCAGTCATCAAGAAGTTGCTGAAGGGAGGGAGGCTTGAGGCCTGAGATTCTCATGGTCATAGCTTTAACACCATTGCCTTAAAATTCTAAGAATGTGCAGAATTTTGAAATTGTGATTGAATCATAATTTGGAAGCCAGTTTTCTGCTGTTCTTTTTAAGACTGAATTTAAGAATTTCCCAAAATTTTGCGGAGACCATTGTAGCTTTTAAGAGGGAAGTAAACAAGACATATGAAAAAGAAGAGCTTGAAGGAGTATGGGGATAAAGCGGGGTGGTGGGATTGAGTTGATGGCCTTGTTCTCAACCGGTGTAGACTCGATGGGCTGGAGTTGTCCATTTCTATGTTTCTATCAAATTTTAAGGCTCTCATCTTACAGCTGAAGACCATGAGGCTTTTCTTTCTCAGGCTCTGAGAGGTTGTCGCAGAATGGGCTTATTACTCAGCATCTTTTTCAGACAAGTGGGAGTTATAGTTCTCAGAAATCCTCTCTGGCCTCAGAGACCAGGCGTTTGTGTGGACGGCATGAGTCACCCTAGACGTGACGAGCCAAACAGCCTCCTTCCATGCAGTAAATTTCTATGCTTCTATGAGAAATATGAAAGAGTTGGAAGAAAAGGCTAGGAAAATGGGACTAAATAGATAGCTCTTTCAGAGAGTCAGCACTGTTAGCCGAATGGCCTTCTGTGCTGTACATTTCTGTAATTCTATACTTGTTCGCCTGCCAGAAGCTGGGTTCAGAGCAGACTTGTTGGCAGCCTGGGAGCAGGGTCTCTGTCTGATGAAGGCCAGGATTTGAACAGACACAAAGAAGGGAAGATCAAGGTGGTGGTTGGCCCTATTTGATGTAATCTACTTCCCAGCAGCTTTTACAATCCTCTAAATATTATAAAACAAATTATTTTAAATATTGAATATTTGCAGCTCAAACACAATAGAGCTGTTCATATCAGCCTGTCCACCAGGTAAATCAGAAATGTCATCCGGTAGGGAAGTTCAGAACTGTCATTCAAGCGTTGTTTACTTGCATACAGTGACTTGTCTTACTGCAGGAGGAAGGGTTACAGAGATTTGTTATCAAAATTACTTCAGGAAAATTTTCCATGAGTTTGACTAAGATTTCATGTGGCAAACCCTCCTCTCAAGTGTGTCATCTGCATGTGCCTTACAAAGTTGTTTTGGGTATTGCCGCTACATCACTGCTAAGCAATTTGGAGTGACCTCTGGGTTCATGAGATGACATTATAAAAGTTGGATGAAACTGCCAAAAGCCTACATTTTGAAATTCACACATGCTTATTATTCCAACCATATGTAACAACAATATTCCAATGAATAATTCCAAATTTAGATAAGATTTTTATATTTTATCTCAGAAATAAATAGCTTTCTATTGGTCTTGTTCACCTTTTAAATATATACAAATGTTTTTAAAAGTAAGCAAAATTCTGTGAATAAAAAAGTTTTGTGTAATGATAATAAATAATAATCCTTGCATTTGATATAGCGCTTTTCATGTCTTCTAGCCATATCAAAGCGCTTCACAGAATATGCTGTAAAGTGAATTGACTGTATGTATATTTGTGAGTGAAACGCGGCAGCCAATTGCCTACAGCAGTGTCCCACAAAGAGTCGTGGATTGAAGTTATTTTTGTTTTTTTCTTGAGGGATTATTATTATCAGGCGTGTGGCAAAAGGAAACTTGCCCAAGGTTTCGCCCTGCCGGGAATCGAACCCAGGTCTCTCGCTTGCGAAGCTAGTGCTCTAACCACAGAGCTACAGGACTCCAAACTTACTTGTGTAAACTTATCTGTGTAACTTATGACTAGAGTACTAGAGTCTAGAACACATTGGGCTGGTAAAGGTTTAGAAACCTAAAAGATAAATGAAACTCACAGTTGATATGTGTCTAGAATAAGACAAAACTTCACAAAATGAGTTATTTGGAAATTTAATGGCTGTTTTGTGGGGAGTAACTGCACCTATATGGACTTCTGTTCTATGGAAGATCATTTCAGTGTTTGTTTTGTCCTCTCTGTTTATTCCTGCGCTATAGTTGGTCATATGAGGCTATATATTTCTAGTGTACAAAAGGTAGCCTTCAGGACACTGGTGATATTAGAAGAAAGCGCTATCCAAAAGAGCATGTAGCAAACCGGGCAGCACTTTAGCATTACCAGTTTAAGCCACAAAATGCACACAATCACACCACTTTGAATGTATCGTGTGAAGAGACATCTTGTTGATGTGATATGGCACCATATCAGATGCAATGTTTTTGACACTCCTAATATTTCATAATGCTGAAAATATTTTTTTCACTTTGCAGGGAAGAGAGCAGAACAAGCCTGAAGTGAGTCCTTTGCATATTCAGAATCCATTTGAGCAGAGTTTAAATGTGAGCAAGAATGTGAATCAAACACAGCTGGACAAGTTTGTGAAAGCAGCTAGAGAAAGTGCCTGGATATTACAGCAGGAAGGAATGAACCACTCCACCACAAAGAGTGAACACTGGGGCCTGGCAACTTTGCTTATTCCTTCCACACAAGTGTCTGAAGGCAAGGGTAGAAAGAAAAGGCGAGAACCAGCTAGTGAACGGATCAAACATTTGTTGGAATCGTTAAAGAGGACAAACAGACAAGTAAAAATGTAAATAGGCCAAACAATGGTCGAAGGGACTTCTGTACTGTCGCACGTTAGAGACTCCCAATAAGGAACAAAATTATGTGACTCCAAGTCTGAACATCGTTCGGCCACAGTAAAACACCAGTATATTGGAAACCTCAGATCTTGATTAATATAACCAGGTGCCAGAAAGACATCAGTGAACTGTTTTGAAATATTTAACCTATTCACTTGTGCTTTTCTGTACGTTTTAATTTAGTCTTTAACCAGTAACACTTTAAATGTGTGTGTCTTGTCAAAGTGAAAACCAATTTCAAATCTTATCTGAATTTTTTTAAAAATGGGGTTGTGTGCATTCTCTATTGTGTGCAGTACACTATTTGATCAATACCATGTTTTAACTGAGTAGCAATTGACATGGACAGCATTATTACTGATGAGGACCGTTAAATGGTAGTGACCTGGAACTGAATAGTTGGCCGAAACTATAGAGACCATCCATTTCTGCTTTACTTATCTAAAATTATACATTTCATATGTTTGCCCAGACTATTTTTAAAAGAACCGAAGAAGAATTACTTGCAGATGCTGGAAATCTGAAATTAAAACTGAAAACATGTTTCTGATGAAGAGTCACTCCTGAAATGTTCACTGAATGACTTGCTGAGCATTTTCTGGGTTTATTTTTAAGACTTCTGAGAAGGTTTTATGTTTTGATTATTAGTACAGCAGATACATGATACAGCAGATACATAATAATAATAATAATCCTTGCATTTGATATAGCGCTTTTCACGTCGGGAGGACGTCCCAAAGCGCTTCACAGAACACATGAAATTAAAAGCAGTAGAGTATTGATCAGTAAACATTTGCACCCTTCTTAAGCATTTTGAGTCCTTTGCAAGTGTTTCCCATGTGGACTTTTGCTCATGAAGACAATTTATGGTTGTGCAAAATGAGCATCTTGTTCAGAGTGACCTTTGGAACCTCTATTTGGGTGTGGAATTCGGGTAAAAAGCCAATTGTGTTTTTAAAATGATCTTAAACCTTCCCTCAAAACAACCAACACAAACTGCTTTGTTTGACTATATAACACAAAGGCTAGTTTACTCAGCGCTGTGCAGCTGAGCTGAATTCAAACAGTACAACTTCCTCATCCAGATCAGTTTCTGAAAATGAATTGTGTCTTTTTGTTTATTTCGTATTGTAGAAGGGAAAGAAAACCACAGTCAAATACTGTACATCATTTGCAAAAGCAATCATATGAAAATTAAGTAAGTATGTCCTACATGCAGTAATAGGCATCTTTAGAAGTGCAGCTGGACTGGACAATTAGGGTGTATGAAGTATGAAGTATGTTAATAATAACCTTTGCATTGTCTTTTCAAGTGAACGTTAAAGATCTCATTGCACGCTTTGAAGAGAGAAGGGACTTGGAGTCCTGGCCAACAATCCCACACACACAATTGGGCATTCACTTCAAATGAGCACCTTGTTCAGAGTGGCTGTTTATGGGATATTGCTGGATGCACATTCACTGCTGCATTTGCCTACATAAATACACTGTATAATGAATCCCGTGAAGCTCTTTGAGATGGTCTTCCAAGTGCCAGGTGCAAGAATTATTATTTATTTGATATAAGGCCCATAACTTATTGAAACTGCACTCTATCTATTTCACCTCTAGACATCCTTACTGCAATGGGGCATCCAAAAACTGAATATATCCCCTAACTGCCTAGACTAGTAAAGAATTCCTGACATGGGGCTTGTAAAGCAGTCTGGAATGTGAAATTGACTCAAATTATATTAAATACCCCCAGAGATTTCTACAAATATTCTGTAGAAATTACCAATATTTTCTGCAGATTTCCACTCACCCAAGTCATGCAACTGGTATTTGAAGCAGAAATGATGAGTTCTGGGGTTTCTGCAGTTCTCCAATTGAGGGAGAACTAGCCCAAACAGGAAACCGCACATCATACAGCATATCAAGTCTGCAACTCCCTACTTCAAGTACTGTATTGCCAAACGTTCCCTTCTAAATCCCTTCAGTGCAAATCCCTGGTATGGTGCCATTAGTATTAAATCCCTGGCAGAATCCACTATGAAGATTTTGAGAACCTTTTCCACAGCCCTTTACCTTAAAATCATTCCAGACAGTGGGGGCAGAATGGCTGAAAGTCGATGGTGGAGTGGAAAGCGTGGGAGACATGAAGCCAGGCTGGTGGGCATGGGGCGAAGGGAGTGGTGAGGTTGATGAAGGTTAGAGAGGTAGGGTGGAGAGAAACTACGGAGATTTAAAGATGACGTTCCAGCAGTATCACTAACCAATTCCTGAGAAACCTGAAGTCAAAATCATTCAATGACAGATCACTAGAAAAAAACAAATATGAGGTAATTCTCCAGAAATTTTACTTCTGCCTCAAGGCTTCTCTCCTTTACACTCCTGTCCCAGCCTCTTCACTAAGAAGGGTCTAGCTGTTTGAACGAGTTTTGGGACGTCCTCCCGACATGAAAGGCGCTATACAAATGTAATGTTCAGCGTCAATTTTACCCAGAGTCAAGGAAGATCGATCAATCGAAAAATTCATTTGTGATTTCAAATTGGAGATTCTATACTTTAATTTTTTTTAATGTATGAGAGTTTTCCTGGTATGTGAGGTTAGAAGCTGAATAGGATAGGATCATGGACCTTGTAAAGGTATACGATAAGACAGGATAAACCTGGGTTTCTAGCCCATGTTTATCCTGAATTGTTTACGGATCACCCAATAAAACAGAATCTGCTTGTTTATAAGGCATCGATTTGGAACATAGTGTTAAAGTTTGAGTTTTTAATGAGTTTAAAGTTTGAATTTTACAATTTCATTCCCCAACAAATTCAGTTCAAGATCCTCGTTCTTATCTTCAGATCCCTCCATGATCTCGCCCCAGCCTATCGCTGTGCCACACCGACTCAGCCATCCCCTTCGCTCAGAGATTAATTTTTCTTCAGCCGCGTCCTGACAGCGGAAACCCATCAACATGCCTAAGAGTAACCAAACTGGAGTCCTTCCAACTCGATCCCTCCCTCATTGAAGGCACATGTAAAAATATTATTTGACTGGGCCATTGGTCATCTTTCTCCACTATCACACCGCCCCCCCCCACCACCCATCACTTAAATGGGGATCATAAGAAACTTACCTAGATGTGTCTGCAAATGACACACATTCACAATCATTTAAAAACAGGGTTGTGCTGCAGAAACGTGAGAAAGATACACCATTTATTTGGGGATTGTCATGTCCACAGTTTCCTCTTCTGACCTGCGATAAAATATTTCAGCCAAGACAAAACACATCTGCAGCTTCTGGACTCAATCTAGTGCAAATTCACTAAAACCAGTAGACCACACACGAGTGGCTCAGTCCATGTCAGAAGTGATTTTGTGCATCATGGAGATGTACCCAGGCTGTCAGTCCTCGACTAGAGATCGCCTGGAGCAGCAGCAGAATGTTGCTCACACTTCAGGCAGACCCAATGTTAGGCCAGGAACATGAGACAGTGCAGCTGCAATCAGTGAAATTCTGTGTCAATCCAAAATGTCTATGGAACTGTCTCCTGACTATGTCCCAGGAAATATCACCACCTGACTCTTTCTGGTTTCCATAATTGAAGAACAGAGTTAACCATCACCCTGTGAATCAAGGCTAGATGTCCATCACACCACAGAAAGCCTAGAGGTGTGTTCTCTCAGCAAGAAAATTGTCCTGCATTGTCTTCAGCTGAACTATATTTTGAAGATGGCGTTCTGTAAGTTTCGTTTAAGAGCTACAGAAAATCAGCTTTAAAATTGAGTTAAAAATACCGAATTCATTCAATTTCCGAATTCTGGAATTCCAAAAAGCTATGTAAAATGAGTATATCTACAAGTATTTTGATCTTCAAAAAAAAACAATAAATTGGCTACTCAACCACGGCTGTTTGTGGGACACCTCTGTGCACAATTGGCTGCCGCGTTCGCCCACAAATATACAGTCAATTCACTTTACAATGTGTTCTGTGAAGCGCTTTGGGACGTCCTCCCGACGTGAAAAGCGCTATATCAAATGCAAGGATTATTATTATTATTATTATTACTCAACCACGGCTGTTTGTGGGACACCTCTGTGCACAATTGGCTGCCGCGTTACACCCACAAAATATACTGTCAATTCACTTAACAGTATATTCTGTGAAGCGCTTTGAGACATCTTGAAGACGTGATAAGGCGCTATATCAAATGCAAGGATTATTATTATCTAAACTCAGGGCAATTTCTCCCTGTGTGTGCTTTCAATGGGAAGGCTCTGGGCTCTCAAGGGTTAAGAGAAAAAACAAACTCCAGGGTATATAGGAAAAGCCTAAAACACCAGATAGAGAAAGGCACTTAAAATGTTCGTGCGTAAATTGAAAACAAAGAATAGCAGAAGACAAAGACAGACTGTACCGGGAATCAACAGAATTCCTGTCAATTACCACACAGGGATGCAGAATAGCATTTGAAACAACATCCCCTGTGAATCCTCAATCCAAAGCAAAGAAACTTAAAGATAATGGGGTCCCCAAAAGCACTGCAACAGGAGCCAACATACAGCAAAACATAGGCTCTCATGAAGGGGAAAACAATAGATTCCAAACCAGACACGAGAAAAACGGAGATTAAAAGGGGAGCATTGCCACAGAACAAGAAATCGGAAATTTCTTTTCTGTTTGCTTGCAAAGGCACAATGTGACGACATAACTCGTCTGAGAATGCATCATGACAATGCACCTCCCTGACAAAAGCGACGCACGGTTCTTCTGGCTCTTCTCCCTCCCTCCCCAGTTAGTTACTGCTGATCAAAGACTTCTTCGCAAAGACACTTTAAATAAGACAGGAAAGCAGATATTTCAATAGGGACGGCCAGGAAGAAATTTGCATCATTTAATTAACGCTGTTTCGGTTTTATGACTAAGTTTCAATGTGGGATGAGGCGAATCACTGAAAAGAAACATAACAGATGCACGTAAACATAATAAAGGTCAGTGTCTGTTCAACAACAAGGGACGGTGAATGTGTGAAGTAAAGACAATATGCAACTAGTGAGTGATGGATCCAGGCAAAGGTTTCCTCAGGATAAACAGCAATCGAGAAGTGGTTCAGTTGAGAGGGGGAGAGCTTCAGAGTGAGAGGGTGGCTTCCGTAATGAAGGGTGCGGTTTCAGCTGTGACAGGTGTGGCTTTAATGAGGGAGCGGCTTTAGCTGTGAAGGGTGCGGCTTTAGCTGTGAAGGGTGCGGCTTTAGCTCCGAAGGGAGCGGCTTTAGCTCCGAAGGGAGCGGCTTTAGCTCCGAAGGGAGCGGCTTTAGCTCCGAAGGGTGCGGCTTTAGCTCCGAAGGGTGCGGCTTTAGCTCCGAAGGGTGCGGCTTTAGCTCCGAAGGGTGCGGCTTTAGCTGTGAAGGGTGTGGCTTCAGAGTGAGGAAATGATGTCATTGCAGAGCGTGGTTTGCACCATGAGGGAATGACATGGAGAGTGGCTGTAATAGTGAGGGGCGATCCTTCAATAGTCCGAGGAGTGGCCTTTGTAACGAGGGATGTGGCTTCATTATCGAGG